CACACATAAGGCTCCTCCCTCATAATCACTTCTCCTGAAATGTGGTTGTTACAACCAGTACCAAAATTAGAAAACCAAAAAATAATTGCATTCCCTACCGTTGCTATAAATGAATCATTGGCATACAAGCTTATATCCCCTCACTAAACCACAACTACATACGTATGCATCTACTTACATATCTATATATATACACTATACATATTTTGAACTTTGAAGAATAAGAAAAGAGTAAAAAGAAAGTACCTTCATGAACTAATACGTTACTAGATGCTAACAAAAGATCATAAAACTACCTTGAACAGAGTTATAAAAAAAGAAAATGAAAAGAAAATATTATGAACACTTAAGTTCAGTTTAATGCGTTTTCTTTTTCTTTCTTTCTGGTATGTTTCACTCTCTTCTTTCTTTTGTTTCCATGCAAGAAAACCAATAAAGTACAAGTCTGCATTGTCAAGGCAATAAACACACTCGCTCTTCTTTCTTGTTGCTTGCATGCAAAAAATGAAGTTTAACCTTTCCTTTTGCTTGTATAACATGCAAATTAAAAGCTTCAAATACTTTTAAAGAAAAACAAAGAAGAGAGAAGAACCGGGAATGAAATCTCTAGTGGCAAAGAGGCAACGCCGTTTCGGTAGAATAGTATTAATGGTTAAGCCTTCAGCTTCAAGAAACCTCTGCAATTCCAAATCATCCTCCATTGAAATGATAACTAACTCTCTCTTTTCTTTCTTGCTTTCTTTTTTCTCTCAGAGTCAGAGGTATTCGCAAGTGAAAATAAAGCCAGCGAGCTTCTTCTTCGCTATTTATAGTAAGTACAAGAAAAAGCAGAGGGGAAAGAGAGAGAGAGTAGAAATGATAGGATTACGGTACTTTTGACTTGGGCCAGGACAGTGACAGGACCTTGATGATTAATTTCCGTTTAGCAAACTCAAAAAACCAACGGCTATCAAACGTCGGTGATTCTAACAACCTGACAGCTGTGTCAAATTTTGAGCTAGACATGTACTACTAACAATAAGTAGTTAAATATATTAGAACATACACACGTTGGGATTTGCATGTTTACTTATTTCTAATACATTTTAGAGAGGAAAATTATTGTGGTAATATATAACATTAGCCAAAAATTTGTAAATAAAAATTTGAATTACATTGAATGAATTTCACAAAAAATATTTTAAGTTATTCTATTATTATTGAATAACTTACATATTAATTAATATTATAAAATTTTAATTATATATTATTGAAACATTAATTGCTTTTCAACAATAAATATCTTTTACATTTCTTAAATGTTTATATATTTTTTATAAAAAAATACGTAATTTTTGTTGTTAGGTGCCAAATAAGCATTTGGACTTTAAGAGTACAAGAGAAAATAAAGGAAGTGCTAAATAAACCCCGTACAAAATAGACTCAACTTTAGGGACGTCCAGGTACAGGCTACCGGATTTTGACGTAGCTCTGTTTCCATTATTAACTCACGGCTACCGTTAAAGGCAATCCACATTTAATCTGTCAAGATTGCATGAGCTCGTCCTCCTTCAATGGAATCATAACTCGTTATACGAATATATAATTATTATTTTAAAAAATAAAAAATTCACATGCAATTTAAGAAATATGATGGAAGCAAAATTCTTGAACCGAATTACTGCTTGAAGAAGACATAATTGATTTTTTTTTATTTTTAGAAAAATGTTTTCAAACATTAGATAAAAATAAACACAAATTTGTAATTTAAAAAAAATCAATATATCAAACTCAAATATTATCAACAAAATTTATTTTTCTAAGAAAATTTCAACTTGTTTTTCTCTAACAAGTGATTTCTCTTTTAAATTGTTGAGTTATATCCATTATATTCCATGAAAATTATATTTTCCTATCTTTCCTTTTTTCATGTAGGGTTAATATGGATATCATATAATATCCATGTGACTTTATTAATAACAAGACTTATGTGACATGCTAAGTTGATTATTTTGGGATAAGATATATCGATTTTCAAAATATGTTCTTGAACTGAATTAAAATAAAACTTTAAGAATTTGAAGCCAGTGACAGCTGAGAGAGCTTTGTAAATTAACGATGGTCGGATCGTAAAATAATCATAAAACCAACGGCTGTCAGATGCTGTTTACAACTTACAAGAGGTAGTTAATGGCTCTTACCCTTGATTTTGCGTGTTAATACATTTTTATTAGAAACTAAACGTCACCCTAGATTTGAGATTTTCAAGGTTAGTACATATTCTGGCCAACAAAAGAGAGTTACTATATATCACAAACTTTAATCATTTGATTATATGCATAAAACAGCACTAATACAACTGAATCTTACAAAAAATTTCATCATCATATGAAATAATTTTCCCCCTTTTTTCAATAGGTTTTCAGATATATGAAATAAGATAATTTTTTTTTTCATCTTGTAAACTTAATCCTCTCGAACATGCTCGGGGAAAACCAAACTCATGGCTTCCGACTATTGAACTGACGGAACAACCGAATCACTCCCACATGCAACGTTTATGCTTCACATGATGACAATGCTAATGACGGTAGTGAAGTAGTTTACTACTCCTTACATGAAAGCTTGTAAGAAGCTTCAGCACGAGCTTCCTCCAACTTCATCAAGAGTTCTTTCATAAATGGAGTGTTTGTCCCATGAGTGATTCTCAGTATGTCAACCGCCTTCGTCAATGATTTGATAGCATCATCTGTCTCTCCGAGCAACCTGTCGTGATTAATATCAAAGTTGTTAATGATTCAAAAGAGTTAAAAATATCAGTAATCATATCAAAGGGAGGGTTGAGGTTATGTGAAAGTTGCCAATTTCATGATTCAAGCAGCACTGATTGCATCTACATAAAAGGAACGTCATGCAGGCAGTTCATTCCCACTCATTGACCCATGAAAGATCAACAAAACTACTGTCCAGTACATTTTCGAAATAAGCTTCCAAAGTCTCAACCTACAATGAAAAGAATGGATATTTTTCTCTAAAAGGCCTTGCATAAAGCTTGCCAGGTGAAGCAAAGTTGCTAAAAGATACTTTCACTGAGGCATTTAACAGAACTCTATATGTAACAATACTATGTCATTAACCAATTGATCAGAGTGATGTAGTTACTGATTTTTGGTTATATTCCTGCACAAGCACAGCTATAAAGATCATGAACTGAGGTGGATCTCACATTCACGTTAGGCACACAAAAGTAGTTTAGCCGTTATAAGGTCCCAAGAGGCAACTTTGTGAAGCAAGTTATGGATTCTGTCTATTTTATAAAATTGATAAGTATTTTAAGGAATTAACATAAATTTTAAAAAAAAAAATAGGGGAAAGAAAGAAGTGCACCGGAGAATGAAGTAAATAACAAAGTCAAGAAAATTTCTAACCACTCAAGCTTTCCACAACTGTAGTATTGTAATCCTAGTAAAGGATGAAATCCTGGATAGACCCCTGCAATGAAACAGAAAGGTAAGTTCAGGATGCCAGTAATTTCTCAACTCAGGACCATTATACTGTATCTAATTTAGGGTAAATTTTATCAAAACTTGCACTGGAGTTTTCAGGCCAAATTGAAAACATCACAGGTGCAAACTAGGACTACGAATGCACTTTTAGGTTACTCCTATGGATTAAAACCACTAGATTGGGTTGCTAAACTCATGAGATATTGAAATAGAAAAAAAAAATACTTCATGCATCTGGCTTATGTTGCAAGTGAGGAAGCGAAACTAAAGTTTATTGTCTCTGCCCCTCCTACAACCATGACAAGTGAGAAAAGTGAACAACTAAGTAGATGCTTAATTTGTTTCTCGTCAAAGATTCAAGTTGAAATATGACATACTTTCATACACTGGAATGGTCAATTTGCAAAATGTCAAAGCTTCTTTCCACTCCTCCAGCTGCACTAATATCTGCATGAATTGATCCATTTTTATCAGAATCACAAGTCAACTCAATTAATATTGCAAAAAAACCAATATTGTTTTACCAAATGATGTTTGACAGAACAGGAAAAAAATGTATTGCATTCAGTTTAGCTTCGAACTTAGTTTAGCCATTCATCAGATCAAAAGTACAAAGAAAAACATATATACATGGACTGGAAGCCATTAGATGATAAAAAACAAATCAGCAGTAAGAATCCTGATGCTATATTATACAAAATTGAATCATTTTAGATTAATTAGACCAAGAGAAACCGATAGATAGATAGATAGATAGACATTCACATACACACACACACGCACGCACGCACACAGACACAGAAAAGCATAAGTTTCTTCAACCTACATTCTGCTCTAAGATGTCAACATGACTCAAGGAAGTACCTCATGAAGTTTTTCCCGAGTTCGCATCAAACTGATTGAAAAGGGATGGCACACTTCCTTCTGGAGTTTTTCAATATTTTTATACAAAATCATGGCATCCTGAGGATCTGAACTTTAAGTTAAGAATCAAATTTCATCTATTTCTCTCTATGAATGCACATAAATATTGTTCCCGGATAATATTAATTCACCAAGACAAAATTATTTACTCAAACAGTGGCATTGGAAATGAGATTAAGATTAGAATATCAAAACAAGTAACCAACTGCAAAATTATATTTCAACTTTATAAAATTAAAGTACCACCGAAAGTGATTAGTTCCTTGACATAAAAAAGTAGAGAAGGATATTGCCAGAGGAAGTAGACTTAGGAGCCTTGTCCAACAATGCTTTGATATCACTTGATATCTTTCTTATCTCTTCCTTGTTTCTAGTGAGGCCACACTGTTGGCAAACAAATCCTTTGTCATCTGCATATCCAAACTTTAAAATGTGTAAAACTTTGTCTAGGTCATTTGAGTGGCTTTAATTACATATTGTCACATACCAGATTCTCTAAGCAAGAAGCCACTGCATCTGTTGTCCCTGCAACGATAACCCTCCAGAATTGCACTTTCTTGGATATCATCATGTTGACCCTTCAACAGTATATAAGCACCGATTAATCAGTGAAATGAAAATGTCCATTCCAAAAGCAAATATGTTATATGCTAAAAGAATAAAAAATGTGATAGAGCAAGTACCGCTTTGATACAGCAGGGACATGTACAAGTGAAAAGGTATTGTTCTTTGAGAGTCTTTTGCCGAGTAATGGTACTTGCAGCAGTCTCTATATAACTGATCAATATCTTAGGAAATATAAGAAAAGGAATATCGCATTCAGTTGCAATATCAAAGGATTATTCTCATTATATCTTTAGGAATATCAATGGTTAATTGAAACTTGAACATGCTCTAGTACTTCCTCTCTGTTTCTTTGTCATGAGACTGGTATTCAGCTTGAAGCTGGTTCAAGCTTCAGATAAAAGTTTGCAAAGAAAAGAGCAATGAGATTCCAAGACAAAGAGCATAAAATAGATGCTATAACAAATTGCAGCTACATTGTGCCACAAATAAATTACAAGGCTAAAAGCTGAAATGCTCTCCATTGAACATCTAGAAACTTCTTTCCACCTTTAGCAAGCATTTTAGCTCTATGCATAGCATAGCTTTGCCAAGATAACATCCAGAAATTTCCATTGATGGTTTATCAGTTATGATCCAGAAAAGAAAAAACCTACCATCAATTCACATAACTGGAAAGAATAAATCTGCAATAATAGCTGGCAGAGCTACATGTTGTGGGAGGACCATGTAATGATATTATTGAATAAAAAGAATTATGGAAGAAAAATACTGAGGCCACAATTAAAAAATAATAGAAAAACCAAATCATTTAAATCATGTTGGTGGTATCTTCACAGACATCATGATGGTACAAGCTCCACAGAAGAAGAAAAGATTACAGGTATGATTTAAAGTAACTAAATAACAAAAATAATTCTAAGCTCTAGCTTGGCCTTGACCAAACTTGGCTTCCTGAGAAATTGAACCTTTCTACAGGGTGTTCTTCTATATGTTTATCAAACAGACTAACCATTTTTGGAACCCTAATCTGATGAGGACATCCTAATACATCAGTTCCTAGCATAAACAAATGTGAAATAAAAAATTTCCCACCTCAGCATCTTTGGGTATATGTTGAACAGCACGTACAACAGCCAACCTTCCCTCAAATACCAAGACAGAATTTGGCAAGCAGCTACAGCAGGGGAGTTGTTTAGTAAACCAATGATCACAAGAAAGGAAGCCATACTGCATGAATCCGTAAGCATAATTACCTGTGGTTGATAATGGAAATAACAGGATACAATCCAGTCCCCAGGGGTCTCAATTCACTGTCACAAATGGTATGTGCATTACATGCAATCTGCAATTTTCAGAATTAATACATCAGTATATCTGTCTATATAGTGTAGAAAGATATTGCGAAGATTTTTTTCCTCACTTTGGTGAAATAGTTAGAGACTATTTACATGACACAGAAATTTAAAAGAAACCAGAAATTACACTGTAATAAATTCCCAGACCGCTTATTTAGGCCATTCGTACTTTTGGATGAACTTTTGGATTGAATATCCATCAAATTACAACATAACTTAGACAACCTTGCTCCTTTCTGCAAATTGTTTTAAGTAAGCCTCAGGTTTCAACATAAGCTTGCACTCTTCCTGTCGTTTTGCAATTTAAAAGAAGAGATTTTGATGATTAAATAGCGAAACATCACATGGAAGAAATGTAAGACTGCTCCCATAGTACCTAGATATAACCTATTCTTTGTTGGATGGAGGGAGGAAGGGCAACCGTACCAAAAACAGTGATTTCAAGTAATTATGCTTCAAATATAATAAATGACTAAGACATTAGCTTAAAATGACTCAAAAATGGACCTTGGAAAAGTTTTCAACAATCTCTTTTATGTCGATGTCAGGGCACCCAAGAATCAAGTTAACAAGGTTGGCCATCTGTGCGTATAACACTAGCTGCTCCTCATCGATACCTGACATGTCTTTCCTGAATTTAAGGCTAAACAAAATAGTTGAGCAGCAGAATTATAAATCAGAAAAGGTATTCTACCAAAATGGACTAAACCCAATGATAAAAACAGGATACGAGAAACCAATTGCTCCACCAAATTGTAATTGTCTATAGCAGTAACCGGGATGACCTGGAAATGTTAAGGAATTATTAAATAATTCCCCATGAAAAAAAAAAGCTCATAACTCATAATGCTCACATATGAAAGAATAGTAACCAGCCCCATTACCCCTTCACTATGCAATTTTCTCCTAAGGTAAATTTTCACCATCATTCGGATGGTAGGCGTAACAGACTTCCTCCTTTCCTTGTCAAGCTTAGCAAGTGCCTGGCATTCCAGTCGATGCAACTTCCACTCCAGCTTCTGTAAATAAGACATTAACCAATCAATAATTTTCAACTGATTTGATGAACAATTCAACTAGTTGAGTTGAAACATGGTATACCTGGCAAGTGCTCCCACAGTACCAAACAACCTGACAAGCCGAGCACTTCTTGAGATTGCTTTTGCTGAAACATCCATCGCAACTTGATTCAGTTAAGGAGTTGTTTGGCACGCAAACGTATGGCTCTTGGCTTATAATTACTTCTCCTGCAAATAAAAGCTGCATTTTAAATTTCCAATTTTTCCTGCACTTTACTGAAAACAAACAAAGGCCATTTTTAATAAACTTATCGCATTCGCAGGCTATTGATAGATTAATTGATCTAATTTACAGAGTTTTTCTCTTTTTTTTTTTAATTTGGCGGAAAGAAAACCTGGATAGAAATCCTTCGTGGTGACGAGAGAACGGCCTTTATCGGGGAGGTTGGAAACTCTTAAGCCACGAGCTTGAAGAGAAGCCTGCAATTGCTCCATGAACAAGCAAGAACTCGTAAGCTCTGGAAGGTTTGCTCTTGACGAACGAGGACTAATCCAGCTGCTTCGCTCTTAATCAGTGCGGCGTTATACATCAAAAGAAAAATTACTGCTGCGAATGTTTCTCGTAAACACGGGTGGGTAAAAAATTACTTAATACGGCATCGTTAGGATATATAAATTTGGAAATCATGGTCTTAAAATGAAGATATACGCTTTTCTTTGGTAGTTCTCAAGTTCTACTAATTTTCCGATGGAGAAGCAATTACTAAAATAAGATGATATTTTTCTTTTTTTTTTTTTGGGTTTTAAATGTGGACTTATGATCTTGATATTTTTTGTTAGTATTTATAAACTTAGTTCAAGTGATAAAATATCATAATTTTTGGAGAAATTTTAGGTTCAAGTCAAGGTGTAACATTTATGAGTGATGTAATCTTATGTATTTTTTTATTAATTGCATGTTTGAGCAATTATGTTACTAAAATGTATAAATTTGTTGCATGTTGATAAAAAAAAACAAATGTAAATAGATATTTTATAATAAAATATCTTGTATTACTTGATCTGATATTAAATAGGATCAAGATACTCTATAATTAGGTTTGAGTAGAATTCGAATAATAAAATTATTACTTTCATGGGTTTGAAAAGTAATTTTAAAATATCCATTACCAAATTTGATTATAAAATAATAATTTTTAATGTTAAATTTTTATTTATATATTTATTAAAATTCATTTATTCTAAATATAATTTTAATTTTTAATTTATTTTTTATAAATTAACTTTTTATTTATTAATTTAATTTTTATTATTAATATATATAAAAATTAATTTTAAATTCATTTTAACCAAATATTTAATAAATATTATCTAAAATATTCCGATAACAATTCAAATTTTAATAAAATATTTATAAAATTTGAATATCTTATCAAATAATATAGCTTGGATTAAGGTACTTAACAAATAATAATTACTTACCCACTACCATCCCTAATTAAGAAAGAAAATTTAATGCACATAACGATATTATTGTTGTCTTTACCACCTGATTTTTCTTAAAATTTCATAAACATAGTTTAATCATTTATTACTTCTTTATTTTTCTCTCTTTTTTCCTAAGTTTAACTAAAGAAATATCTTAACTTAACATACCCCTTTAAGGCGATAACAAAATTACACTTACCACAAAAAATATATTTTAATATATATTTTTTATTATTGCATATGATAAAAAAAATTTAAATAATTGGTTGGGCCAATTCGATCTGAGCCCAGCCCACCATGCTGGCCTTGCAGGCTTAGGCGGGAAGGTCTCGGACAATCCTGCAACTATTCAGTGACGAGCCGCATTGAAAATTAGCGTCACAGCCACTCATCCGCTGACCGATTTCACAAGTCTTCCATCCACTACAAAAATGCGGTCTCAAAGGCGTCTGTGATGCCAATTCCTCGAGCATCGCCGTAAGACACCCTTCATCATTTTCTCCGTCCTAAAACCTCTCACGTCACTCAAATCTTCGTTGAACTACCAGTCTTCCACGTGGCTTTGCCAAATCATTTTTGCATGTTGGTAAGCAGCCGTCTCCGGTTCCTTTCTCCCCATATTTCTTTCCCATTCCTCTCCCTGCGAAATCATACCCCTTCAAGGCTTTCTTTCTCCGTTGCAGCCTCAGGTAATTCTCTTTCTCTGTTAAAGCCTTCATCTTACCTTTAATCCTTAATTAATCACTTTCCCTCTTTTTTCTCAGCCATGGAGACGAGCTCGCCTTCTGCTCTATTTTTATGCGGTAAGTCATCTGCGGAAACCGAAATTGCCAAGTCATTAAAAATCAACAACGCTCTTAGGCTCCCAAACGGTGGCGAAGTTTCAACTCATTTACGATCAGAGATTAGCAATTTCCGATTTGGTGAAGAGGCTTTTAATGTCGATTTGTTTCTGAATTCGCTCTCGACTAACCGATTCGGTCGGAATCTTATTTGGTCCCCGCGGTTGCCTTCCACGCACGACGTAGTTTCTCAGTAAGCGAACAATCGATCGGCCAAAAAAAACAGTCGAAATTATTTGAAATTTTTGGTTATTTCGGGAATGCTAAAGTTTTATTTTTAAGCTTTGAACAGCAATTTTTGTGAGCTTCCAATTGGTGCGGCTTGTGTAGCTGATGTTCAGTTTAAAGGGCGAGGTAAGGTTCGTTTGGTTGTTACTTCAAGAAGCTAAAAAACAGCAGTAAATAATAATTTTGAATTATTAAAAATTGAATCTTGCATTTAAGTTATTTGATTGGTTTTAATGAATATGATTTTGTAAATGTTTCGAGATTTTTGCAGGTCGTTCCAAGAATGCGTGGGAGTCTCCGAGGGGATGCCTTATGTTTTCATTTACTTTAGAAATGGAGGATGGAAAAATTGTGCCTTTGGTACAATATGTAGTGTCTCTAGCTGTGACGGAGGCTATAAAGGATATTTGTGATCGGGAAGTAAGCCTGTTCTTCTTTCCCTTATACTGCCGATATAGACTTATTTTCCCTTAAAAGATGAATGCCACTGAACCAAAAGGATATAAGTTCCACAATTGCTATGCATCAACTTCAAGTTCAAAGGTTTAACTTACGGTGCACATCTTAGAAAATTACCAAGTCGAAGCTGAAGAGTGGAAAATGTTAATTATTCTTTGATAATTCACATCATTTACCATTCTTATTTTGCAAATTATTCTTTACTATGAACCTGAAGTTTAGATTTTTATAGACTTCTTTTTCCAAAAATCTTTTCAGGGCTTCCCATGTCTTGATGTTAGAATCAAGTGGCCAAATGATCTGTACTTAAATGGCCTTAAAGTTGGAGGCATTCTCTGCACATCAACGTATAAATCAAAGAAGTTCAATGTCAGTTCTGGTAAAAGGACATATTCCTTTGAGTGCCAATAAGCAAATTCAGTGTGACTATCTATGCTTCTGTCTGTATCTTTAAATCCCTAGATTCAGTGGCAGAGCCACTGATAAATTATAAGATGGAGGGACTGTGACCCTTAAATTTTCTTAAAAGTTGATTATTTATCTTTGAAGGTGCCCATAAGTTGAAAAATATATTGACTTCAACCCCCAGTAGCTCTGTTATGCCCTTGCACCTGTGCAGGCATTTGCAGTAGCATCCTTGCTTCTGCTCCCATATGGAAAATTCTTGCTTCACTATGGGTAGACTGTTGATCTATTGAAGCACATTCTGCATTTGAAAATAGGATTTTGCTGGCCTTATTTTATTTATATACCGTATGTGCATGATGAAGCTTACAAATCATTGGATGTTCTTGCAGGTATAGGTTTGAATGTTGATAATGAGAAACCAACGACATGCTTGAATGCAGTATTAAAAGAGCAGTCTAGTACTTCTAACAAATTTAGAAGAGAAGATATCATGGCTGCCTTCTTTAATAAATTTGAGATGTTATATGATATTTTCTTAAATCAAGGTGAGTCATTCTTTTGGTTCTCTCTATAATCTCCTGGGTCATATATGTAAATATGCATTTACTCTGTCAAATTTGGTCATTCTTAAAATGAGCATTGTGCAATTTTCATTCTCATGTTGAAAACTATTTCCATAAGTTTCCAACAGACAGTGGTTAATTGAAATGCTAGGAATATGGTTAGTTGTGCTACCATTAATCCTCAATTACTTATAGACTGTGGAATTTGGATCACCTTTTGTGAATAAGAGACAGTATCTGCATCTTCCTGATTCTTCCCTCTGATGCACACACATTATTCTCCATTCTCAGCCCCCACCCCCCACCTCCCCACTTCATTTTCTCTGGTACACTTACAACTCATCATCTGGAACCTATATCTTCAATTTAGAATGTTTGTTGTCTAAGTTGTGAAACAAATTGGGAATCTGTTTTAGACAAACGATATACCATATTTATCAATGTGTATTAATTATGTTGCATAGCTTTCAGTACCAATAATAACTTCTAATTTTCATTTTGGGGGTCACATAACATGCAGGATTTCAAACTCTTGAGGAGCTTTACTATAGAACATGGCTTCATAGGTGAATTTTCTTTTATTATTTTCATCTTTCGTTTATGTGCTGTATTATCTAGTAAAAAACTTTGTGGTTTTAATAGTGCAAGGAAAGGAGTTATTAGCTAGTTATAGTTCCAGTAGCACTTTACTATATAACATGGCTCCATGGGTGAACTTTCTTTCTTAATTTATATCTTTCTTTTAGTGTGTATTATCAATTAAATTTTTTTTTAGTTTTCATAGAGTAAGGAAAGGGATTATTAGCTACTCATGGTCCCATCAAAATCTGGTCCTGGAACTGTGGGCCTGTGGCACTGGCTTTGGCAGTTTTACCTGTAGCATTTTATACTAAGTGGTTGTTTTAATGATTTAGGGGAGTGCTGTTGCACTTGTCAGCCTTAGTCTTTTATCATTGAGTCAGCAGTTGCCTTTTGGTTTTTTTTGTATTTTTTATAATTGGGGGAAGGGAGGATTCGAAGTTGCTCTTTAGACAAGGGGATCATGCATCAACAAATAAGCCAAATACTCAAGTGCGCAGTTGCCTTTGGTTACATCAGTATGAATTCTAATAAAATCCTAAGCTTTCCTAATATATAGGAGAAAATGTAAAGGATAAAACCTTAATCGCGTATTAAAAAAAAAAGAGAAAACATTAATTAAAGCTCAAAGATAAGAGATGTATGCCTACGTAAACCATCATTTGCTGAACTTGGTAGTGCAAGTTTGTAACACAAGTGGGGGCATTAAGGTGGCTGGCTGAATGTGATATAGATGGATACTTGCATTGGAATTGCCTACCTTGCTGGATTTCCCATCCAAGAGAGATTAAAGAACTTATCCCTCCCTCTCCCCCCCCACCCCACACATGCACACACACACACAAAGAAGAAGAAGAAGAAGAAATATTTTAGAAAGAGGTTTTCATGTGGATGGCCATCTTGTCCAAAGAATAAAATTATGGTCTACTTATTCTTTCATGACCATTAAGTCAATAGAAGCTGATGAAGTTACTTATATCATTACTTGTCTCAAGAATTAAATTCAACTTGAACAGCCTTTTAGCATTAATGTGTGTATCTCCATGTTGATCCTTTTTTCATTAACTTTAGTAAAGTTGCCTGTGTGTGTTTGTACAGCCAGCTTTTTGCTTTTCTTAATTGAAGCAACTCGACTAAGATGAAACTTTTCCATTATTTATGGCATGCATATATACGCTAAATATCTTTTTATAGGTATGCGATTTTATTTTTTATTGAATTGGCCATGCAGTGGGCAGAGAGTTATTGTACAGGAAAAGAATGAGGATAGAATTGTGGAAAATGTGGTCACTATCCAGGTACGGCAGACCTAAAAGGTTTACTGCATAAGTTTCTGACTTGTCCTTTCTTGACATTTGCATATGCAGGTGTCTGCCTGTGGGTATAATTGTAAAAGAAAATAAAATGACCTGCTAAATGATTAAATCTTTTAAGTTCATACTTAAATTTTCTGTCCTCTTACGTATGATGGGAAATCTTCTGTTCCATAATTATCTGGTTGAAGATTTTTGTTGTCTGCTCAAAAGTAAATAATTGTCAATTAGCTTAGTGAAAGAACACACTATGCATCTTTACCCATTTTTCTCTTTTTAATGTATAATTTTTCTATCGATTGTTGGGGGAGGGAGGACTAGTCAAGAATTCATTTTTCTTTTTCATTTAGGAAAACTTCTTTTAAAGTCTCTGTGGTAAAAGTAAACAATGCCTTGAAGAGCATCTTCATTTCGAATTTCAGACCAGAATATACAGTTTGTTTCTCTCAAGCTTTAGCCTTTTGCCTTAGCATATCTGTGGGAGAAGAGAGTGGAAATTCTTAGTGTAAAGGCTATAGCCAATGATCTTGTGGTAACTTAGAAAAACTTGTAGTATAAATCTGAATTAGTGTTGAGTAGCAATATCTGTTCTACAAACATGTTAAAGTGAACATAATTTCATATTGTTGATGCTGTAACTTGTAATTGAGTGTGTTAGAAGTATTATTCATTGTTTTTTTTTTTTTTGCAGGGTTTGACATCCTCAGGGTATTTGTTAGCTATTGGTGATGACTATCAAATGTGTGAACTCCATCCTGATGGAAACAGGTATCTTTCGTTTGCCTTTTTTTCATGCTGAAGTTGTGACATCTCCCCATCTAGGACTTTAGAATATATTTCCAGTGGCAGGAAAGAAAATATTAACACAGTGCAGAATTCATTTTTCTATTTTATAAGTAGTGCCTTATTTAGCCACCTGTAAGAACATCCAAAAGGACAACAAAAGATTAATTATTAAGGAAAGAAGTGATAAACATGCAACGCGTGGTTCCTGGAAGCTTTTATGGCATCCTTTAGAATTGGATAGTGTGAGAACACCAGAAGACCCCAAGTTATTGGCACTGATTTCCTCATTAAGTAAGCACAAGTCCACTTTCTGAAAAATTATTCTGCTCCTTGTCTGTACGGATACTAAAAAGCTATTAAATGGTGCAAGATTTCTGACAATCCAACTTGTATGGCCCAAAAGTAAATTTTTGGTCCACGAATTCTCGCTCCGTCGTGCAAAATGGACCCAACAGTAACTGGAAAAGCAGAGGACAAGCTCTGGCGGTGCTTTGCAAAATGGGCCAGTGGTGAATGGAAAAACGGACGAAAAACTCTCTCTCCAATGTTAAGCAAGCATGTCAATGCTAAATTAAGCAATAGTAGTATGTTCTCTAAGAAAGAAAATAATAATAATAAAATAAAATAAAGCAGGAGTATGACCAACTGGAAATTTAGGACTGGGATCGTTACTGATGTGAAAGATTCATGAATTAGTAAACCTTTAACGATACAAAATTATGTATCAGAAGGTTTTTCAAATATAAACATGCATGCAGTGGACGAGGAGCTTCATTTTCCTCCAAGTCCAGAGGATGATAACCTTTTTAATTGCACGTTTTTAAACACGGTTTCTTTAGATGATCAAATTCCCAAGTTGGAAAAAGAATAAATATGCTTTGATTTGGTGCATCCTAAGAGCATTAGATTCCCTCGTTCTAATCATCTTTGCACATAACACTTGGCAAGGCACCCATTTCATTGGCAGTAGTAGAAGAAGTTTCCGCGTACTTTCCACATCAGTTTCACGATTTTTTTCCTCAGTAATTAAACTATTGCTTCTCATGTGGCCACAGTTTTGACTTCTTCAAAGGGCTGGTCAGGAGAAAACTTGAATGAAGAACATTCCACAGCACATTCAACCGGAGGCAAACTGTCATGTTGTAACATGTGCGAAACACAGGCTGCATTCTTTCTTTTCTTTTTATGTGCTTTTTAAACCAATGTCATTATACACAAAAGGGTATCCATTTTTTTTTATTTAATTTAATTTTTGTTTGAATGAGATCTGGGTCAAACTTACATTCCACAAGTCTTTGGTTTTGTTATTTAGATGAGATTTGAGTAATGGACAACGAGTACAGAACAAATCTCAAACAATCTTGAATTCAAATCTATGCCCAATATATCAATCATTTGTTAGAAATTTGTTGTCTTCTTTGCTGCCTGTGTGTTGATGAGAATAAATAGTTGAATGATTTGCTGTATATCTAGGATCACTTAAAAGACAGGATTATTGAGTGGATCAGTGTCCTGATAAACCGACCCCAATGTCTGTCCTGTGGTCGTAGGTTCCTTGTCCCATCATCGCCTCCGTGTTTGCTCAACCCACCACCCCACTCCCGGTCCCCCCTTCTTCTCCCTTCGCCCCAAACCCAGCCTGGACATGGGCTTCTTACATAAAAACAAAAATGTCTTTGCAATTCAACTTGATATTATTGGAAATGCCCGCAGGCCATTTTTAAGGGGTCCATACAGCACAAATTGTCTCCATTACAGTATCAGTATGGAATTATATTCAGGTTTGGTCATCCTGAGAAGGCTGCAAAAGAGCTTGTGTCATATGTTTCCATTGCCGTTCAAGAGAGCTTTTAGCTTCAATTTTCATTCCCCAGGGCTTAGGGGTCCCTCAAATTTGTACAAAAAACAACATACACCAGCTCTTAAGCTTTGCAGCTTTTGTCTGCCTCCAGCTTGTCTTGCATGCAATGAAATGAGTTGTAACCCAACATTTATATGTGGCAGGATGATATGGCATGAACCTATCGTGTTAATAACAAAAATAAATAAATAAATAAATAAAGTTTGTGTCTTGCTGTTTAGAGCTTGCTTGCTGTTCACCACACAGTCAACATTGTATAGTGATTGTCACAATTGGCTACCTGCTGAGAAACTGTGACTGTGAAAACAAACAAATGCCTTACAGCCAAATCATGTGGGCAAATTCATGATGGTGACAAATGGTGTTTTTTTATCAATTTCTTTTTCTGCTCAAAATGATACCTTCCCCTCATGTATTTTTTGACTTGTTTTTTCCATTCCAAAAGGGGTGATGAAATTGAAATGAGTCGTAACTTTCATGGCTTTTAAATTTACTTTAATTTTATTTTATCTGGGATATATTGCTTTTTCTGGACTGTGAGTAAAACAACAGCTGTAAAATTGAAGAAAGCACATGATCCACATTTAATAATTATGGCTGTGGGGTTTACCCCCTGGAAATTCAACCAAAATTCACCAAAAGTGGTTCCTGATATTTTTTATTACTTTTAACATGGATCCACTTTCATTTGCAGATAAAATAAGATTTTGAGTTAAATAAAGCTATCTTGATGCCATTTAGTAGGCTGTTAATGCCTACATTTAGGGTTTCAAAACCTTTTCTTTTCTTTTCATTTCATTAGCATCCTTTGGTTTGGTAATGCTATGTATTGATAGAGATGAAAAGGCTTTTTGCATACAATTCTAAATTTGTTTTGCTAGAAAGTGAAAAAGGATTATGGAGAAGGAAGGCACTTAATTGGTGAAAACTACTCTAGTTAATAAAGGTAAAGTGGGATGGATTGGGTCAAGACTCAACAGATTAATTATCATAATATTAATGTAATCATGGTTCAGAATGTACTGAAAAGAATGAGCAGCCAGTAGGAAAATAAAATGGGGATTGGAGAAGGAGAAAGTAACAGAGAAGTTGAGCCTCAGAAAAAAAAAATGTGGTACACAAATTAACCATGGATGATGGATCTTTCTCTGCTGTTGAAGAAAGGAACAAGACCAGTCAAACATTCTTTAGGCAATCACATGGTGAGCTCCCATGGTGGACCCAACCATAGCTTTAGACTTCAGAGCATGGAATAATAAGGTTGGAAAAGAGTGGGCTACACCTAGTAAACAAGATGCTGCAATATGGGAGTATCATGGATAAAAATCAAGCTCTTTCCATTTACATTTTACATTACTTGTAACACTGCACACATTCACATTATGGATTAGTTCCAAGTTTGATCCAACGGTTATTGTTCTTCTTAATAATTATTACCTAACTTTGTTTCAAATGTTGCCCAAAAAAAAGAAATGCATGGATATCAAGATATCAGTACCAAGTTCTTTTTGACCCAAGCTAGTGGCAGGGGGTTAATTAGAGTCAAGACCCTTTATTTTTTAGGATTCTTTACACTTTTATCACCATAAAGCATGACAGATGATTGGACTTATTGGATCATTCTCTCCTTGATATTTGCTCACATCTAAAGTTGAATATGCACAGTTAGTGTACTGAGCATCATAGACTAGAGTAAATACAAAAATATATATAACTTTTGTTATGGTCTACGAGTTTCAATGATTGAAGTGTTTGGTAAAAGTCTTAAATATCATTGTCGATATGATCATTGAGATATTCTTAACATGATTACACATATCATGTATATAAACTTTTAAATGATTTATCATATCTTATAGATTTAAAATTTTTAGTTAATTTATTTAATATATATTAAAAAAATTGAATAATCCCAATGGACTTCGGTTTCACAACAAAGGTTTACGTAGGATAGTGGAGGTGCAATGATGAAAAGTCGAGGAAAATGCTTGAACTTACCCAATGATAAAAGAATAAGAATGGGAAATGCAAATACTTTGCCAAGTCACAACCCATTTTACGTAAAAAAAAAAGAAAAAAAAACTGTGCTCTCTTTCTCTCTCCAAATCCTTATGAATTTGCGTGCGATGGAGCACGCATGCACAGATTTTCTTTCTTTCTCTATTTTCTTCTTCCAACGAAGAAAGGAGGCCAGAGGAATAATTGAAATGTGATGAGTGGGAAAGGGTTTGGTCAAAGAGATGATGGCGTCGGCATCAAACGAATAATCAAAAAGATTAAAAAAAAAATGGATGGTGCATCATGTCATGTCTCGTGATTAATTTTGGGACTTTTTCATTTAATCACTTCTCCTATTCATATTTACTATTTTCGTTTCTCTATATTTGTCTCTTTTGTTTAATTTTTTTTATTATTATCATTTGGTGTTCAAAATTTTTTAATATACGTATATATTTTTTGAAAAGTTTAAAATTCCAAAATTTAAAATCTTATCTTTTAATTTTTTTTAAAAAAAAAATTATTTTAAATCATCTTAGGGTTTTATTTTTCTTTGATATAAATGAGAATATTAAGATTTAATGAGTTTTCAACAAATTTCACCTCAAATCACTTGAGATCTAGACGAATCAAGTTTAGATAATAATCTTATGGTTTTGATAATGATTTAGTGTTCTTTTTTCTTCTAATTATGTACTATTACACTACACCAAATAACTCCAATATGTATCATTCAAAAGATATTACTACGCCACTTAAAGAGTTATATACGTAGTTCATAAATCATACTCAATGAATTAGATTTCAATCTTTCAATTCTCAAATCAAAATTTACAAAGATTGGTCGAAGATAAAAAATTCAAAACATACTTTAAATGTTCTACCAATTAATATGCATAAACAAAAAAGAAAAAAAAATAATGTGCCCGAAAGTTTGCAGATTCTTCATTAATTTTTAATCGACTTGTATGAAATTTGCTCACAAAAATTGATTTAATTTATAAAAGCCATAAAATACATGCACAAAACCACAAGAATAGATACGTTGGAGCTGTGGATGACATATTTGAATAATTTGTTATCTTTTGAGAATACATCACCAAAGCAATGATGAATCCTGGAATGCCTGTGACAATATCTCAAATGTAATAAAATAACTAAAGATGATGGCTGCTGATTTCATTTTTTATTTAAAAATGAAAAAAAACTAATCCAATTATAATCTTTTTGGAACATAATATTTACCCATATCTCCATCTTTGTACCTTTTATTGTTATTAAATATTGGAGGCAAACTTTGTAAATGCAGAGACAAGATCTTCAATCTCGTGCAATATCTAAGAATTGACTACTGGCTAGTCTCTATATTAGGAGAAACTGTTGGCAAAAAGAGTATACTTTTTTAATCTTTAATCCTTGATGCCTCAATTATATGTATTGGATAAACAATTAACTAAATAATCTACCCTTATTTTTTATATCTAGTTTCTTAATTATTTGGGGCTTCATTAAGGTATCAACAAAACCCTAATTAAAGAAATAAGGAAGTATGCATGAGTAGCATTTTCGTGCTCCCACGACACATCATGGTGAACTTGTTCTCTCATCGTCATGATGAACTTGCCAAAATAAAGCAATTGCCCTTTCTTTTCTCTCTTTTATTTTTCAAAGTTTTTAAACTATTTAAAAAAGCTAAAACAAATTTTTATTTTTCTATTAAGTTCAATAAAATTTATTTATTTTTATTTTAAATTAAATAAAAATATATAATTAATGTTATTTATCATTTTACCCGCAGCATTAATGTGAAAAGTAAAAAGTGTGATGTGTTAATATTATTATATCAACATTTGTTATGATATGTTAATATATCACGTCATCATCATATAACATAAAATGATAAATAATATTTGAATTAATTAACTGTTAATAATAAAAAATTTATTTAATTCAAAATAAAAATATAAAAATTAAATTAAATTTAATAAAAACTAAAAATTAATTTAAATTTTTTAAATAATTTAATTTTTTTTTAAATATTACATCATATAAAATTATTAATTAGACCTTATTTCAATAAAAAAAGCTTTTAAGTTCGCAGGTTTTAAGGTTACATATATAGCTTTCTTTCAACTTTATATTAAATTTTCTTTAATCATATATTATTGATTTGTTTATTTATTCATCTATGTTTCTATTAGACGTGATAACATCATCATATTTATTGAGGTGAAATATAAAAACCCTTTTCAATATAAGGTATTGTACGATGATACCTTCGAACGTTTTAAATTTAAAACCGAAACTCTACATCCAAAGAGGAGTGAGGGGCATCTGTTCCTCGATATAGCCCAACAAGGAACATGGAAAGTCTTGAAAATTTTTTTGACATAGGGGAAATA